GATGATAATGTTTCCATCTGAGGTTGACTTGCCTTCTTTGGGCTTTCAAAGGTTACCCGCCTCAAAACATGCCTTTTTGGGCGTGAATTTTCGGCGTGCTCTTGGACTTCAATGCGCAAATTGGTGCGCGCAGCTGCCTTGAGCTCTTTGTCATGCTGGAGGTGATGGCGACCCCCAGTATGTTGAGTCGTTCTGGGCTTCTTCATCGGGCCCAAACGCTCGTGAATTGGAGCTTTGCCTCTCACGTCAGGAACTGGACCGAGGCGCTCCAAAATTGATTTCTTCTTGCGGGATGACTCTGCATGATCTCCCGGAGAAGTTATTGGGATTGACGGCGACTTTGGTTGACTCGCCGGAGTTTGACCTTGCTTAGAAGGCTGCGATGGTTGCTTTTTGGCCTGAGTCGCCACTTCAGACTTCGGCTTCCAGACTTGGCGGGTTGGTGGTGGCTTCTTCGTCACCTCCTTTTGCAGTCTTCTACGGGCTTCTTTAGTTTTGGCCCGTACTTGCGCCGATAATGCGCGGCGCTTGCGGATACGCTCCTCCAGCGTCGTACGGTTCCGTTTGACCCGGACCCACTCCATAGTTGATGGCTTGGAGGAACCATTCTTCACTTGATGTTGAGGCTGTTTGCCTCGTTTATTCTTCAGATCCGCATTATAGCGGACCCCGTCAACGGACTCCATGGCCTTGGCGAATTGCTTCGCGAGGCGTTGACGCTGCCTCTGGCGAGCTCTCTTAGAGAGAGTCACCACGCCTTCGATGGCGGATTTGACCTGCTTAGAGGCCGATGGGACTTCACCCGACGCAACTTCGGCGTCGATCGGGGTGAGGTTGTCGTTGGTGGCTTCAACTTCTTCGCACCAACGGACTTTTCTCCTTGAGGAGAACTTCTGGAATTTCTTGGACTTACGGGGGGAGGTTGATCCAGATGAGGAGACGTACTCCTCGTACTTCTGCTGGTCGAACTCATACTCGACCTCCTCCACGACCGGGATCGAGATCCGCGGCTGCGACGCTCCGATCTCGGCAGCGAGATCGGTGGCTCCCACTGTGGTCGCCAGATTGTTCGCGGTGAAAATTGCCTTCATTGAATTCATTGTTATCTCAAGTAATTGGTTTTTGGTTACAAAAGATCCGGTCTTTTTTAGATCCGGTTACAACGAAATCAAAGAAAAAGAAAAAGATTACAACTTTCCTTCCGTATGGGTTGTTTGCCTGCGCCGGGGTTGTTTGCCGTGGACCACCGCGTGATCTAGATCCGGACAGATCTACACAGTATAACGGGTATTATTCCACGAAAGAAATAATAGCCGGGGAGGATTGATTCACCAAGGAAACAATCGTCCAAGTCTCGGGATCTAAGACCAAGCTTAGATCCGGAGTATACCAACGTAGATCTGAGATCTGGATACCCTCGAACTCCTGCCTTTTTTGTGATGCGGGTGCTCGCCAAGAATCAGATCCGAATGTCCAAGTCTTCAAGCCTCCAAAACTCCAAGATG